TTGCACCAGTCCCCCTCCGCCCCCACGGGGCAGGCCGGGCCCCTCACTGCCCGAGGAGGAGCGGGACAAGAGCAAGAGGCACAGGAGGAGAAACAGGGCCTGGCACCACCCCCAGCCTGGAGTTCTCTTGTGGGCCTAGCCGCTTGGTCTTTCTACCACCCGTCACTGAGCACCCGCCCCGGGGCCACTCCCGCACTGTGACAGCCGCCCCAGTCCTCCGGACAGCGTTTGGCCTGATTCGGCTGACCGGCTCCATCTGAAAATCCCTGTGGTGCACCCCTGGCATAGCTCCTGAGAGCACCTCACATAATGTGTCTTCTGGACCCTCTAAGTCACAGGAGACTCCAGCCGGGGAGCCGGAAAAGACCCTCGACTTGCCCCGAGCTGGCCTGTCTGCGCTGGGCTGAGACAACCCAGAAACGGAGTGTTGTGTGCCAGCCCTCTGCCCTCAGCCAGCCAGATCTCTGCATTTGGACAATGCTAAAAGCCCACCCTTCAGACTGGCCCCTGGCTGGCTCCCATGGGATTCTGGTGTCAGAGCTGCAGGAGGAGCCAAATTCGCAAGAGGGGAGCCTGGTTGCCTTGAATGGCTGGTGGACCCTGCTCACAGCAACTGCTCCCGCCTCCCACTCCAGAGGGAAGCCTGGATTCTAAGATGCCGGGCTCCTGCGGTGATTTCTACCAGCCAGGACGATTAACGATGCCGTTGGCCGTGGCAGGTGGGGCCAGTTTCCTCCTGTGGATCAGAACTGTGTATCGTTTCGGCTTGCGGAAGCTAACCGCTTCGGCACGGCCCCTCTGCGAACTTCAGTGCAGCCACAGGGAGCTCCCTGTGATAGCAAGCGTGTTAGCGGTTCCCCCGGTGGACTGAAATGCCACCCTTGTGGCAGTCTAGAATTTATGTTGGCTCCTTGACAGCTGTGCCGGAGTTCCAAGATGACAGAGCACGTAACTGTACTCCGTTTCCCTGCCCTTTGGAAGCAAAAGAAGCAGAAAATCCTTCCAGGTCTGCCTGGGATTCCTTCTGCATTGGAGAAGCCCCAGCAGCTAGACAGCTGGCATAAACCATGTATTCTGCTTGGGAGCTGGGTTAGAGAATCCCAGACCCACAACTTGGCCCTGCTATTGCGGGAAGGAAGAGAAAACATGGCTTGATTGTTCTTACCGTTGGGGCTACCAACAACTCCCTGCCATCCAGCCAGGCTCTTTGCAACAGAGAAAGATTCTGCAGTCCCGTGGTGTCCAGCACACAGGGCCGGATTAAGGGGGGGCTAGCCAGGCAGCTGCCCGGGGTGCCAACCTATGGGGGGGCGCCTGATTGAAGTGGTAAGGGATGCTGCATCAGGCGCCCCCATAGGTTGCCACGCACACGCTGCACGCCTAGGGGTGCGGCACCCCGTATATATCAATTCAGTGCCGTGCGCCTAGGACGGGGTCACGCATGCGCCACGCGCCCGCTGCCCAGGGCGCAAGAATGGCTCGGGCTGGCCCTGTCTGCCCACTAGCCACATGTGGCTAGTTGGCCTGCTGAGTGTGGCTAATTGGCTCTCAAAACTATTTACATTTTCAGAACGTGGCTCGTTCCAGTCCAGCTCATGCAGAGGGAGCGCCGTTGGCTCGCCCCCCCCTCTCCATTGCATCAGTAACGCAAATCTAGGACTCCCACACACCAAGGGGCCCATCGGAAGACGTGCTGTTTTCCCAGTGTGGACCCCTGCCCAGGGTTACGTGATGGCCATTTCTCTTGGCCTCTCTGCTGCTAAAATTCACTCGGGCTCTGAAGTTTCCAGGATCGCCTCTTAGCTGATGAGCAGAAAATGACCATGAGAAAGGGAGGGGGAGTTAAACCAAAGGGCCGGGCCAGAGTCTGTTCAGCCTGTGGGTGAGCAAAGTGCAGAGAAAAACAGCAGCGCGGGAACTTCCAGGAGGTGCAAAAGGCTTTCCTGAACCGGGCTCTGCTTAGCCCTGCATGCACACCTGGTTAACTACGGGGATGGGGCAGAGGGTTGGTATAAACAGCAGGCGGAGACCAAGATTATAGCTACGTGGGGTGGGCAGGGTGCGGGGAGCTTCAATTCACAACCTTGCTAGATGCCAAACAGCGAGGTCTGGAGAGAGACACTGGCTTGGTGCTTGGTACAAGCATCTGTAACCCAGGAACCACACGCGCACACCCCTTTGAATGACCTCTCACCATCTGCGTGAGCTGCGTCTGCTTAACAATCCTTCCCACTTGCACTTTGCCGGGACACCCGCGAGTACCTTTCCCATCCCTGAGGAAGAGCTCTATGCGACGTGATAGCCCTCACAGAGACGGTCTTATCCAAGACCTCCCCTCCCCCACCTTGTCTCTGTACTGGGCAAGCGGCAGCAGCCGGGGTGTTGGAATATTGTGGGCTTGCGTTTCCAGACGACAGATTCCTCGCCCAGCACCTCAGCCACCACGTTGGGGCCATACTCTGTGCAGCTCGGCCTTCTCCGTCTTACAAAGACGGTCCCCGTGTCTCCTACTGTCCCTGATGGCCTCAGAGGCCAGAATGAATGGACAATCCATCCTGAAAGAAACCCCCTTCTCGCTGGCCAGAAAAGAACTCCCCGGGGACGGACAATTCTCTTTCATGACACCTTTCTCCAGGTTTCAAAAATCTGGTTTGGTCCCATGTGGGCACCAAACCCAAAGACACTTTCCCAAAATGGAACATGGGCCGGAAGGTCCATTTTGCGGACGGACGACGTCGCCCCTCGCAGCCAGTAACCCTCCGCCCTGCCCCACGAGGCCTCCCCATCAGCGAGACGGCTCTGCCAAACGTTTGGATGGCCAATATGGACAAGAAACAAATGTTTCGCCCGGCTCTCTGGGATAACCAGGTGGGATTTGGTTGTTACCTCCCCGGCTTGGCTACATCGCAAGAAGCAAGAGAGGATACCCTGTTGCTAACGGCAGGAGAGACGGGAGAAAAGCCAGGTGTGAGGTTCATGCACAGGTATGGGGCTTAGGACATTTGGATTCTGTTCCCAGCTCTACTACCCTCTGGACCTGGGGCAAATCACTTGTCTTTTCTGTGCTGAGGAGCATAGGAATTGCTGGACAGGGTCAGACCTCTGGTCCCTCTTGCCCAGTATCCGGTCTCTGGAGGTGGCCAAAGACTAGAAGTGCCGTGAACCCCTCACATAGGTACCACCATGGTCACTTATCATTAGAAATCGGTGCAGACCCTGAAACACAATAAAACAAGGGGAATTAAGCTGTGACCGCTCGAGAGAGCGAGATCTTGGAGACATTGTGGACAGGTCTCTGAAAACTTTCGCTCGGCGTGCAGCAGTTGGCAAAGAAGCAAGCAGAATGCTGGGAATTGTTACAAAAGGGATAGAGAATAAGACAGAAAACATCTTATTGTGGTGCAGAAGTGGTCCCCTCCTCTCAAAAAAGATCTCTCGGCACTGGGAA